TTATATATAATAAAAAAATTATATAAATATATTAATTATAATTTAAATATTATATTTAATAAAAAAAATTAAAATTTTAAAAATAAAAAAATTTTTATTAATAACAAAATAATATATCAATATTTTTATACTGGATTATATTTTATATAATATATTATTTAAAAATAAATAATAAAGTATTTATATTATAATTTACTAAAAAAAATTTAATTCCAATATATTAATTTATTTTTTTATTAAATATTAATAACTTGCTTGAATACTATCAAGCTAAAAATAATAATAACTTGTTTGAATATTTTTTAAATTAAAAATTATAATATTTATATATTAAATATATAAAATATAATAATTAAAAGATAATTATATATTATTATAAATAAAGAAATTATTACAAGAAATTTTTTTAATTTGACTTTTTTTGTTTTTTTATTTTACTATCTCTAATTACTTCTTTTACTAGCTAATTTATATTAACTAATTATATTAATATTATTTTTATTTACTATATTTATTTATTATATTCACTTATTATATTTGCTATTATAATTGCTTGTTATATTTTTTTGCTATATTTATCTATTATATTTACTTGTTATTTTTATTATTTTATTATATAATATTTAATATTCAATAAAATTATAATATAAATTATCCAATAAAATATAATTAAATTGGAATCCTTACCAACGGAGATGCTATGATTACTACAAATGAAGATGACAATAAGAAATCACGTGTCACTGAAATAAAAGATGATCAGTGAAATGAGGATGATTACATGTACATAGTCGATATTATTTGTATTACCTTCCGTTACTAACAAAGTAAGATATTCGACTTTTTTAATATTTCTGAAGGGGTGATATCGTATCGGAAGGTTCCAATATTTTTTTTCAGTGTTGTGCTTGTTGCAAGTGGTGGCGATACGAAGAGATTACTCTTTCTTTGTCCAAATAAACTGTTGATATTCTCACTAAACCCACTAAGCGTTATTTTTATTGGTTACTAATGGCAATAACAGCAAAATGTTAGGTATGTCTTCAGCCTTCTGAGAGCTTGCTTTTCCGATTCTTGGTAAACAAACGGGTCGTAGCTTTGGTGCAGATTGTAAATGCGTTTCGTATGTCTTTTGAGCGGGTTGTATTTTTGGTGTAAGTCGAAGACGCGTCTCCACCCACCCAAGCTGTCGAACATATGTTTTATATTGTATATGTGTATTTTGAAATAGCAGTATTAAAAAAGCATGCAAAAAATACTCCTTTGTTTTTTGAGTGAGAACAGCTATTTTATTGTTATTAATTGTTATTAATAGAACACTCTAATTTATACGGCAGGTGTGCACTTGATAACATCGTTTGTGCATCATAATTATATATTTTGCATACGAAAAATCTCTAGAGTTATGACAATATAGAGGTCAAATTTCTGACTGTTCTGATATTGCTGATGGTGATAGCTAAATTATTTGTATCTGGGTTTGGATTATTCCACATAATTAAAATAACAATGCTTGCTAGAAGTAACTAATTATAAGCAATAACGATAAGGGATCTGACGTAAATCAGCTGATTTCCATTTATCTTTAACCATCAAGTGATTTATGTCAGGTTCCTAATACTGATTGATTTTCTAGTATGAATATAGGTAGTTGTTTTACTAGAATAATTCTGTATTACTGTTATTTGCTAAGATAATAAACTTTCAAATCCAAAAAAAACTTTAAATTCTGAATTTAGAGACTTACTGATTATTGAATGTTCAAGTTCAAACTTAGGTTAATTAAATATAATTTATTATTACAAACTTATAAAGAATTATTATTTTTAGAAAAGATATATTTATGAATTAATATAAATTATTTTAACAATATCATCATCACTATTTCAGCAGTGCATGATTTTTTATTGTTATATTCGATATAGGTAATTATCCACCATCTAATTCTCTGTTTTTATCAACCTGTATTATTCCTATAAACAAAGATGATAATAAGAAATCAAGCGTCACTGAAATATTGATGATGATATTGGAATGCTGATGACGAAAGTGATAGTGACGATAATGGAATATTAGTGAGTCTAGAAACAAAGTAAACAAACACAGACTGAGCCAATGATTATGTTCGATAAAGCAACCCAGACAGAAATGTACACAGAAGCAGAATGAATTATAGAGCTACTAGTCTTCTGCTTTACCAAATTCATGGTTTAATTTGGGAATTCGCTAAGGTCTATTTCCAATTACCAGAAATAAGCACCACTTTTTGAGGGGTGGTGCTTAAACTCAGGACAATTTTTCTGAAAATGTAATTTTAATAGAATCTCTCTTTAAACCACTCTACCGTCTTATCCGAGCGTGCACATATAATCGATGGCTCACTTATGAAATCGTACACCAAAAAAAAATGGCAAGATTCGAATATCTCGCCATTGAAGAATTATAAGGCAAACAGATTTTATTCATTAAAATAACAAGTATCTATCAATATAATTTTTTGTTTTTAAATTTTAAAATAACTTTAATTTCTACTTTTTTAGCGTTCGGTGTAATATGATCAAGATGATCTTTGAAGCGAATTGTGAGAATAATATTGAAATTAATAATGATGAATATCAAGATATTGTCAAAGGAAATGATGTATCAGCCTCTGAATTTGAAGAAGAATAAATATTATTAAGTGGTGGTTATTTGCACTTTTTGAGAGGTTGGATTCTAAACTGGGGGTTGTGCTTATTTCCGGGACTATACGGTATTCAAAAAGCAGTGATTCCAAGGCATTATCTTCGTGATCAAACAATTCATTGATTCGAAGCTCGGAATTCCTGTTTCGAAACTTTCCTTGGCATCATTTTTTAATAATCAAAAAATTATGGACGAACATTGGTAATAAAATAATCTATTTTTATTGTCAATGCAAACGATTATTTGGGTTAATTGGCGATTCTTTATTAACAGTTTTATTCTATTTCGTTCGTATACCGTATACTGCCGTGAATAAGCACCACCACCCTATTTCAATCCAAAAATAGTAAAACAATGAACTACAGTGAATAAGCACCGCTAAATTTAAATTACAAAAATATATATAAAAATCGCTTTACCACCCCCGTTTTTTAAAACCAAAAAAGTAGTGCTTATTCATGGCAGTTTACGGTAAATAATAATGTATTGTACATAAAATAGAAAAAAATGATATCGATATTAACAATTTAAATTTACGGACAGTACTTAATCACGTGACCTTTTCCGGGCCAGTGGCGGGGTAATATCACCTAATAGTGCATTCACAGGTTACACGTTCGATGATTCATTTGTAATGGCAGCACCATAACAATAGCGACTTAAAAGAGATTTAATATATAAGAGAGCAGGGAAGGAAACGTAAAAGAGTAATTAGTTTTTGGGGGCACTAAAAACAAGTCTTAAAGCTTGTGTGATACATCAATCGATTATTATAAATAACATTATATTTGCATCAATACACCGATTATAAATTTTTTCCGGATTATTCTTTTGGTTAAACATTTATCCGTTACTCTATTACCATATTACCCGTCTACCGCTACGATGTATGTTTCTGAAAATCCATATTTTGATCAATTGATGAAAACTTTGAATGAATGCATCTAACAAGAAAACTTGAATTGAATCACGTCACAAAAAATTATTCGCTGATATTTCCCACAGGTTAATGCTTCTGTCTATACTGTGAAAATGCAAATATTCATACATTTTGCATTCTTTTTTTGCTGTTATTTCTTAATTCTAATCAGCTCAACGAAGGAAGTAAAGACAAAATGGTCATCACCTCTGATTCTACTATTCTTCAAAGAAGTGGCATAATCGATCGTAACCGCAATATTATTTTTAGCACTAATATATCTTTCCATCCGTAAATTAAATTGGTTTAATATGTGTTATGAACGCACAATAAATCCCTTGAAAACAAAAGTGTGGATTCGTCAATTGGTAGAATTCAATTTAACAAGAAACATTTTTAAAAATTTAACAGATATTTTTTTGGGTAACGGTAAAAAGAAGTTGTTAGTTGAAGCCTTTAATTCTCTGAGATTCAGCCGTCAAAAATAGAAAAAGATCCTACCCTACACAGGCTTTTCCCATGTGGTAATAGTATTTTTCAGGAGGACTGATTTGAACCTCATAGAAAATTCTAAACCTTTGATTATGATGAAATCAGCGGTCATGTATGTAGTTTCAAATCCATTAGCTATTATACTTTGGAAATGTTATAACAAAACGCTTCAATAAGACGTATCGATATACATTTACACATAATTTATCGTAAAATGTAGTAATCAAACTACATGTATTATATTATAATTAAACTTATAAAAAATTATAAAAATCGTACATCTTATAGAGAAAATATTATGTTACAAACAGATTTATACAGTATCTATGAAAAATAAATTATTACGTTGCGTTTCATATCACAAAAATCAATGGTTCTTAAGTGTATCTCTTGTATCTCGATTCATTCAACTCATTCCTTTAAGCTGTGGGAAGAATATAGCTCTCATCAACTTAAACTCCCATTCACCCATCTTACGACACGCAATCAATAGAATTGGCATACAAAAAAGCATCAACAGACCCGCCATACAAACGAGCGCGACCGTCAGCGCAAAAGTGATGACGCAGATGAGAGATTTCACAAAGACAAAGTAAACAAATGCAATCCAAGTAAATCGATCGAAACAAATTCCCGTGAAATATTTTATCCATGATAGTTTACGTGGTTGTGTTGCTGTGGGCAATTCGTGTGGATCTCGTAGTAGTTTGGTGACTGGTGGAATAACGTGTTTGGGGATTTTTTCGCGGACACACAATTGCACGAAGAATATTTCGATACGTGCGAGAGCTCTAAATTAAATAATAAATTAGTGTAGTTCTTCAATTAAGAATTCATTGATTAAGATTAATCACCTCCAAGACCATGCAACTCCAATACAAAAGAAATATCCAACAGGTGGGAATAGCATTGAGACTATCGCTACTGCAAACGTCGGCAAAATCCAACAAATCGCAGCAACACCAATTGGGAACGAGACAAACAAGAAATAAATAACACAAATCCATCCATAAGGATTGGTCAACGAAGACCAAAAAGAAGCCGCACAGTCATTTTTTTGTGTTTTTATTTCATCTTGTGGAATTCTGAGTTCTTGATTGTTATTGTTGTTGGTACTGGTATTACTGTTGGTGTTGGTTTGGTTGTTGTTGGTATTGCTGTTGGTGTTGGTGTTGGTGTTGATATTGTTACCGGAAGACGATTGAGTACGTGAAGATGAAGCAACTTCGTATGGTGGTGGTTGATCAATATCAATTTCTAGATAATGATTGTTACCCAAGGCTTCCAAAGTTTTTTTGTCATCAGGGTAAGATAATCTATTAGCCATTTTTATATTTATTTTCAGTTTTATAATGTTTTATAGTCAAATTTACGTGAAATAAAATATTATTTATCACAAGAATCAAATGAAAACGAAATTAATTATTAAATTATGTCGTTTTTTGATGTCAACAACACCCAAAAAATACGACTGTATTTATTGTTTTGGTGAATTTTGCCAAGCTCTATTTTCTGTTGTTGATGATTTCCCAGATCTGTATTATCATAGAAAATGCGTGTAGATGATCCCAGCTTGGCAATTTGCAATCATTAATCTTTAGCAAAACAAAATTAATCTTTGAGTACTTGGCGTAAATATAATACGTATAGGGGAAGATGTTTTTTTTTTATTAACTATTCAAGAAAATGTGTGAATGCAATCTCTTTAGATGTATCGGTATGCATAGTCTTACTATTCAAGCAAATGTGTAAGTGAAATCTCTTTAGATGTATCGGTATGCATAGTCTTATATTCTACGTATGCTATTACAGTATCCGACAGATATTCAAAGTTTATTTTTCAAAAACAGCCAAAGGGCTCTCAAAATTCATTGTGACAATGCTGAACTAAGACGATTCTTTAGTTTATCGTTATGTTGCCAAGGTTTCAGAAAGTTCAGATTTTCTGTAACACAGGAGATACAAGTTTATAATTTGATTCGTACATGTGCATATTTCGTCTCGGAAAAATTTGGAGATTGTATGACTATACAAAGATACTTAAATAGAATCTGCAAAATCCTCAGTGGTGATCTTCCAGATTTTTATTGATGCTGGTAATCCAACTTATATTACTTTAGTAAGTTCTAAAATAAGCTTTAAAAGATCATCAATTTCCACGTTTGGGTGACAAGTGTAAATCCAAAAAATGAGTTAAATTTTAATTTTACACTTGTGTCCCGTTACGGTTATACGTATTCCTCCAGAACGTGGAGGATATAAGCGAGGTAAGTATAACTAGTGATGTTAAATAATATGTCCAGTCCGATCCGGTCCCAGAACCGAAAGGGAACGTCCTGGATTTAATTCATAAAATCGTTAGCTTTATCAGATCCTGAATTACCCAATCAAATTGTTATTTAGCCATATATGTTCTACGTAATATGTCACTATGACTTTTTCATGAATCGCGATCACATGGATAACAGTGACCGTGAAACTAATAAAGGTTATTTCTTTAGAGATAAATGTTTATTCTATTTCTTTATACTGCCTTTGTTATTTAAATAATTGAGTCGTGTTGAGAGTTTAACTTATTTAAGGTATGCTACGTTTATTATAATTCTTTGTTTCGTAAGTTACTAATAGACAATGGTAAATCCAAAAAAACTTATAAAAGGACTCGATCCTAGGATCGCAGTCCTATGATAAAATCACATGATTTAAGGATCGAAATTGAACTGCCCTTGAAAGGATCGGATGGGACCCATCCTAAAAGACCGATTAACATCTCTAAGTATAACGTTTAAAAGCATATTCTATCACATGAAAAAAATGTATTTAATTTCATCGTTGAAATTCAATAGAATACAGGATTTCGTCTAAAAATCACGAAATCCAATAAAAGTCACTTAGAATCTAATACCAATATAAATTCGATAATTTAAACAAAATTGACTCGATTTCAATAAATTCTGGCAAAGTTTAAGATTCAAATTAAATTTAATGGTTTTGGATATGTTCGGGGTTTAAAAATAACAAAAAAGATTTTCTTAAAGGATAGGTCGAAATCACATCATCAATTGAACCGATCTGCAAATCGGAAAATATATTTTTATCGTTATTGTTATCATTAAATTTTTGATAAATCACTGGAATTAAGTGATCCATTGGACTTTGTGTAAAACGTAGTTTTGGGTATTCATCCTTCGCAACCAGAAAATTCTAAAAACGTTCGTTGT